AATGCATTATTAGCAAATGCATGTGGTTGCAACTGTTATTGAATAAAAATAGGGTAACTTTTTCTGGGTGAGTACATTCGAATATTGAGATTGCTCATTCTTTTACCTGTTTAATAACATCCTTATTTGTTTACCAACCATCATGACTTATACCAGGATACATTGTAATGTAAACTTTAATGTGTATAAGTCACTCATCATCAGGAAATGAATCATTGATAATACATTCCTCTTTTAAAAGCTGGAGTCACCTGATAGATTCACAAAGAAAGTCACTTACATGAATGTTAAGATCTTGCAATTTACAATAAATTCGACTCTCATCTGCTGGACTTCAAGCTTTAACGACATCATCATTGGTATAAAAGATCAACTCATCATAGGTAACAGAGACAATCTCAGAAATATCATATGGAAGAACAGGTGAGATTATCTGATCTAATTTCTCGCTTTCATAAGAAGCTATTTACTTTCATAATTTTACCTATTATCACAAAAATTGTTATCTATATACTACTACATCTTCACGCTCATAACCATCAAAATAAATATTTTTTGAATAGTCTTTATATTTTCAACTAAGCATATGCAACCATTTACGTGCAATTGAGTATGAAATACTTGTTTTTCTTTTAATTTAAAAGCAAAAATAATCTCATCCTCAATATACATTACAAAGTCAGCAATATTTAACTTAAATTTATATACGTATAGATATTTAGTAACTTGCAATTTAACATTTTCATGCAAAAGAAGAGATCTAACTTTTGCATGATGTTCACGTTTAGATGTAATGATCATATCATTACTAAACCATTGATTAGCCCAAAAGCAGATGAGTTGTGCTTGCTATGGATCTTTATTTAAGCTTTGGATAAGCAGGTTACTTGAATCTATCTTTTTATATCCTTGATCTTAGACTAGATGAAAAAATTGACTTACCATTCAAAACCGTAAATCGTCTTTCTTTTTTTTAATAATAAATCTAGAGATTCTAATGAGAATTTATCATCATCATCATCATCACTACTAATATCAAATATAAATTATTATTATCTATATTAGGTTCAGCAGTTTTATTTGTTATAAATATTTCAGTAATCTTTTTAGAACATAAAGCTGCTTTTTTCCAATAAGCTCTCTTATTATGCAATGTTAATTCTGCATCATCTTTGTATACTGGTCTATGCGAATTTACAGCCCATTTATATGACTTAGCATTTTCAACCAGTTGTTGGTTTCTGTTATTGCATTTCATCCATAAGTTCATCATTATCAAAACGTATTTTCTCACCTTCTATCCAAAAATTACTAAACCATGATTCATCAAATTCATCAGATTCAGCATCTGATAGTTCAAACACAATTTCTTTAGAACTTTTTTTTGCTTCTAGCATTGTTTAATAGCTTCCCGAGACTGTCTAGTACGTTTATTTACTTTAGGCATTATAATTCTGTTAAATTGAAATAAAAAAAGAACGTTAAAAAAGTTCATGAATGATATCAAATGACATGATTTAATTGCTATCACGTGACTATAATTGATTATATATTAGAGTTTTGACCAATGAAATCATGAATTTAATATAGAAATGATCGGTAAAATTTTCAGCAATAGCTTAGTTATTTGATGCAATTAAGTCATTTGCATTATATAAATATATATTACTATTTTATTATTATAAAAATTTTAATAATTATATTAAATTATAATTATATAGTTTTTAAAAAATAATTATCTAAACTAACATTAAATAAAGTTTTTATTTGCTTTTTTAATTTTTTTAATAATTCAAGTATTTTAAAATTATTAAAATTATTTTGAATAAATTAATAAATAAATAAATTTTTTTAATTAAATTATTTATTTTATATTTTTAATTTAAATTTTTTTAATTTTTATAGTTTAATAAAATCTAGGTTTTATAAATAATATTTTATTAATTTATTTATAAAATAAGTAAATTTAAATTTAAATTTAAACACTTAATAATTTTATCATATTTGTTTATAATTATTCTAAATAATTAATGATATTATTCACACTATTGAAAACTTAATTAAACAAATTTTTTATAAAGGTATTATGATAAAATCTATAATGAAAATTTAAAGCTTAATTAAATTTAAACTTAAATTAGTTAATTTAGTTGAGTTATAAAAATTAGTTTTGACAAATATCTTTATAAATAATATTTTTTTTTATTATATATATATATATATATTATATATATATATCTTTTTAAATTATATAAAAATTTAAATGTTATATTATATTTTATAAATATTATATAGTATTATATTTATATTAATTAATATCATAAAGTGACATTAATTAATATAAATACAATACTGTATAATATCTATATTATCATATAACTAATATAAATCATGCTCTATAAAGTTTATTAAAGATTATTTAGTGATAAACTATTTTTTTTTCATATTTTTCTCTTTTGTATTTTTTTTATTTTTTAAATTAAATTTTCTTTATTATTATTATTATTTTAATATTATGTGAAAATAATAAATTTATAAAAAAAACTTTAGTAAATTATAGTATTATTTTATAAAATTTAAATAATTTGTATATAATAGTTTTATGATTTTTAAAATAGGCTTTAAGTAAGAGTTTGAAAAAAATGTTAATTTCTTTTATAAATAGGTAAATTAAGAATACAGAAAATTCTACTAATAATAGATACATATAATAGAGATATTTTATACTAATTATAATTATGAGAAAAACTAAAAGAAATATTTAACATAAAAATATTAGATTCTTAATGGCATAATATTTAGCAATAATGAAATAACAAAATAGCAAAGAATATTTTATTTCTTTAATTAAAATAGCTTTTTCAGCAATTTATTACAATTTAAATCAAAATTCTATTGCAATTTATATAATAATAAGATATTTAAACAATTCTGATAGGTTTATATAGAAAAAATTAAATATTTGACAGATTTAGAATATAGTAAAAAAAATGGAGCTAATGGTTAATTAATAAAAAAGTTCAAAAGTTTAAACTATTATTTAATGGATAGATCTATGCTACAATTATTATTTAAAAAATGTGTTTTTTTATAATGCAATATTATTAGGTTTATATGGTAGAGAAAAAATTTTATTTAATAGTAAAAATTTTAAAAATGTAAAAATAGAGGTTATAATGTACTTTTATATATTGATCTAAAACTAATCAATAAGTAAAAATTGAGAATCATAACAAAGCTGATAAACTTATTTTACCAAATAATTCAGATATAATTAAAGTTTATAAAAAATATTTGTTTTATCATTCTCAACTATCAGAGTCAAACTTTTATTTTCAAGAGTATGATGAACAAAATGGCGTGCAAATTTAATATTTCTCTTTATTGTATTAAATTATTCTAACAGTTATTTTATAATATTAACTTTATACACAAAATGTTGGTATAGAACAATTCATATTGGTTAAAATCAATTAAAAATTTTTATGAATGAAATATGTGCAAAATGTGTGAAATTGATTGTACTAAATAAAAGATTACAAATCATACTGAATGTAAGACACTTTGCTTGTACAGGGATTTCAAAAATTGGGATTTTCAAGAGATTCTATGAAATTAGCAACTTAGCAAAAAAATTATAGAAAGCTTAGATTCTTATAAATTATCTAAAGATTAAGAACAAATTGGAATGTTAAGTAATTTAGTAGATAATATACATAATGATAATATTAAAAGAAAACGAGGTATATTACATATCAAATTTTTTTATCATTCTGTTAATAAAGAAATATAATTTAATATAAATTTTTTTATTTAGAAGAATCAGATGCTAATAATACAAAAAAAAAAATAAGGGATTTTTCTACAGCTAAAGAAGGTTAGAAATATTATTAAAATTTTTTTTAATTTAAATTTTATCCATCAACGTGAAATAAATAATTTGAAAGAGGTGCCTGACGATCTTAATTTATGAAAGCCATTACAAGAAATTGATTCTAACAATACCAACTTAGAAATTACTATGAACACGAATAATTTGGTTAATTTGATAAATAGTGAAATTTTAAAAAAAAGTTAATTTTAAAAATTAACATTGCAGACGCCTAAATTCTTAGCTTATTATATTTACTAGTACACAGAAATAAAATTGTTCAATATCTTACGTAAATAATCTATCTGATGTTCAATATTGAACGCACCGGTTTTCGTAACATAAAACCGGGTCAAACAACCGGATTTAAAACCGAATGGTACATCCGGTTCCAAACTTTATTAATGATATATTTAGAGATAAATAAAAAAAAATGTTATAATCAATTTACCAAAAAAAAATTGAAATTGTGTGATTTTCAAAATGCTGTCGTCTAATTAATTCACTCAATTATGATTCGATTAACTGTTGACCCCTATATTAGGTCTCATGTGAAAATACATAAGGGGGAACCTATTTTAGAAAAAGGTAAATCAGTAAAATTGAAGATTGCTAATTTTATTTCTGTCGATGCAATGTGTGAATATGATATAAAATATTTAATAAATGTAGTTAATATAATCCTTTTTTTTTTATGCGAGTCATTTTTGGAACTCTATCATTTCAATTGTATGAGTTGCCATAGGATTTCCATTTAAAATATAAAGTTCGAGATTGAACATTTGATTTTAAATATTAACGTTAATTGATGATCATTTAATAATCACGGATAAACCACATGCATTTGATCATTCATTGCCAAATACAAATTCATTTAACAAAATTCTATAATGAAATCTGAAAGTTGACAAAGTTAATAATTAATTGATGATTTTGGGAAATTTCATTTGCATCTTTTAAATTTTTTTTAGTAATTAAAGAGTTATCTTTTGAAATAAAATACTATAAATATAAGCATTAACAACACTTTAATTCATTCATATCATCAATTCGAGCTGTGCTCTAATAACTACACCAATTACACATTTAACGAAATAATTTCAAATTCTTTTACATAACTTCAACAATCATGAAATTCTTATCAATCATAACCATTCTTTTGGTACTTACCATTGCGATCGCACAAGCAATTCCTGCCACTAAAAGAAAAGCAGGATCCAAAGTAATCCCTTTGGGGGTTAGTTTCGAGGATTCCTACCAGCTAATTAATACTCAATCGAAAAATGCCACTTCAAAGTTTGAAAAAAAAATCGCATCATTTAAAACGGAGATTCCAAAAGCCGCAAAAGAGGATCAAACAGACGAAAAAACCGTAAAGTGGCTATTGGCCTGGAATGAGAAATATGAGAAACTTGTAGATGAATTGGGTGTTACCAATAAAAAGTTGGACGCTTCAATCGCAAAACTTCATAAAAAATTAAAGGCCTTAAAAGAATAATCAACTTCTTTCACACATCTCTTCTTCCATAATATAATTTAATTAATTTAATAACTTTTTATTAATGATGTATGTTCATTATTCTAAATTTTTATTTTAGTTTAGGTTAATTAGCATATATTATATAATGATAATATCTGTTCTTCAATAATATTAATAAATACTTGATGTAATTTTCAATTCCTTAATATTGAAATAAAATTTTATTTTATTCCGTAATGTCAGCATTGAATTAATTAGATAAAATTTTGAAAATTTTAAAATATAACAAAATTGATGCCAAGATCCATGAAGCATGAATTCTTGATATTGATCAAATTGACTTAGGATTGGAATACATTCATTCATTCATTCGTTCAATCATTCTACGTGTGCACGTTCATTAGTAGAATTGATCACAAGTATTCAAATATGCATCGACTAATGCGATTTTTTATAATGCAACACGTTCATACACTGAATTCAATTAAGTATTATCAGGTGATAGCGGAAATCTAAGGAATTTAATTAGCGTCGTAAAAAATTTACTATTTCACTTGAAGGTGATTTAAACGTAAATAGACGACCTGTTTGTCCCAAAAACAAATTGAAATACTATAGTGGATTTAGAGATATGAATCATATGATTTCTAACCAAATAAATTTTGAGTAGTATGATTAAACTAACAGCTAGACAAAATTTTTATTGTATCGAGTTCCTTTTACTTTTATATAAAGTACGGAAGAACACACATTTCGTTCATTTGTATTATGATAATTATATATTTTAGGTTTATTAGGATTTTAAATATTGGCATTAGTAGCCTCGGTCGTCGCATTATTTCTAATAAAAGAATGGTTGAATTCTATACATATAAAATAATATATAAAAATGTACTTTAATGTACTCTAACTAAACCTCACATCCATCTTTTTCATTCCCCCCCCCCCCCCGATTTATTGCACAAAATAATAAATTATTGTAAAATTTATTAAACTTTTTGAAAAAAATAATTTTACTAAATAGGTTGTTTTAGATTTTTTTGTTATAAAAAAATTTTTATATTAATTGGAAATATATTTTTTAAGCTCATTTATCTTTCAGGTTTACTAAAATATGATAGCAATTTTATATTATTATATTTGTGCATCTTGGCTGGTTGCCTCGATTAACGGTTCTCAAATCTGTAGTTCGCGACTAATTAGATTGTTATTGCAACACCAACATAATTAGGACCCAGTTCTCTTTATTATTTTCTTTGACGTCCTCTAAAAGAATGTTTAGAATTTTTATTGGTAACTCAGTAGAACCTCCAGGTAAACCAGCGAAATTGCCTCCTCTTAATATTTTTATGTTTGGCGATGGTTTTGGTGAGTCGATTGTTGATATATATAGTGTAACGTAAGTTTATTATAAGATAGGGGGTGGGATGGATTTACATAACAAATGTCACTGCCCCTGATCACACTCTCCTTTCTGGATGGTCGATACCTGTTTATTAATTTATTTAGTTTGACAATTTAAAACTGATCAAATTATTTCATCTTATATTATTTATATAATTAAAATAAAAAATTATCTATATAACACAAATTTCTAAATATATACTATAACGATAAGATTTGAAATATTAAAATTGAATAAAAATAATTAATTGCCGATCCGCCGATCAATCGGAGTACCTGATCACGATTTAATAGTAAATCTCGTGGTTAATTAAACATATGAAAAATTAA